GTACAAGGATAGGAGGAGCAAGTTTTCCCTGAGGCCCATGACCTATCTAGTCTCAGGTTCTTGGCCACTTCAGCAGTGTCCTGTTCTCTCTCATGGCGTGGACCTTAAATCCACTGGTTGGTTAATTCCATAATGCTTGTACCTCTGTTGCGCCAGTGTATCTTGCAGGCCGGTCACTGCTATCATCACAGGATTGTATCTTGGAGGTATGGATGATTACTTCTCTTCTTCAGTAGCATGAAGAGACTTTCCAGTACCATGGACACTAAGCAGCAAGCATGAAGCTTTAATCAGGCACCAGGTACCTTCTCTGTGTTCTCTGGCATGTGTAAGCATTGTCTTCAGCCATAGGGCCTTACCATCAGGTTGTGGAAAGTAACCAGTAGACCTGGAAATAGCCAGTGATATTGGGGGGTTTCCATGGACCCCTTTGGGCAATGACTCCACAAGCTGTAACCCATTCCTGGCACTGGAGATTTTACTTGGTGACACAGATCAACGGGGGACCTTGATAGACAGAAAAAGGCCCACTGGGTAGGCAGGCTTTCCCGCAAAGCAAGTATAGCATCTGAGGAGTCTTTTGACTGGCAGCAGAGCCGCAGGCTCACACAGCACATGGCCTCTGAGATAGGTTAAGACATGATAGCAACCTCCCATACCCCTACCGTCCAGATTCCACATTTAGCGTTTGCTGTATTTGCTTCACTAGCTGTATCCTCATCTTTCCACCCCAGGAACAAGATTATCTGCTTTCTGGGTATTCTAATCCCCCCGCCACCTCTACAGTGCTGTTTTTAACCTTTCTTTTGGCTCTGTTCCTTGCTAGCTGTTTTGGCATCCCCGATGTTATAGCCTTCTTGAAACTGGATCTATGCCTTTGGGTTTAGAGCATCTTCACACTTGTCAGAGCAGGCAGTCAGTGGAGACCGGGTGGTTACATTTTGTCTTCGTTTCATCTATACTTCCATAATTGCCACTGCTTCACATTTCTTTGTGGGTAAATTTTCAGGTACCTCAAACCCCAACGGATTAAAATACGAATTTGTCTTTCCAGTAATACATGAATTACATTTTAGAGTGATTTAAAATCCCTTTTTATATAGTCCCATAACCAACCAGCTGCTCTGAAGTACATTTTTTCTTTGAAATATCAGTCACTACCTAATTATGCTCATTGCTATGCTTACAGAAACCCACCAGCCTATTACAAGTCAGCGCTGATCTCCTTGTCCACGCTATTCTAAAGAACTTGCCTCTTTGCCACTAAATTCTCTTTTCTCTGTAATCCCGTGTACTGCAACCTGGGTAATCCTTCTAAACCTTTAAATTTTGTTAATTTAGTTTATATGTGTACATGCACAAATCCATGCAGGCACATGTGGAGGCTAGAAGGGACACCCAGAGAGGGCAACATCAGGACATTATCCTCAACTGTCTCTCTACCTTATTTCTAAGACGGTGCCTGTCACTGAACCTGTGGCTCACCTTAGGGTTATTCGGGAGAGCAGCAGTCCCACAGATCTGTGTCCCCGCCCCGCTAGGGCTGAGGTTGTAAATGCTGAGACTGCTGGCTTCTATATGGGTGCTGGGGATCTGCACGCAGGTCCTCACACGTGCACAGCAAGTCTTTACCCAGAGCCAGCTCCCGAAACCATTTCTACTCATGGCATTTTCCTTTCAAAGCCTTCATTGGCATCTTGTTACCTGTTAGTCCAAAGCTTGAAATTCCTTCTACACCCCTAGACAGAGGGAAGGCCTTTTCATTCTCCAAAGGTTGGCCAGATTGTCATGACTTATTTTTTTTTATTATAATGTGTGTGTGTGTGTGTGTGTGTGTGCGCGTGTGCACACACACTCATGCTATAGCACACTCGTGGAGGTCAGAGGACAACTTTTCCAAGTTGATTCTCTCCTTCAACCTTAGTGTGGGTCCCGGGATCAAACTCAGCCTTTACCAGCTGAGCAATCTCGCTAGCCTGTGCAGAGAACTTAGACAAAAATGAGGATACTAACAGAGACTTACATAGATTTAATCTACATGGGAAGTAGAAAAAGACAAGATCTCCTGAGTAAATTGGGAGCATGGGGACCTTGAGGGGAGGTTTGAAAGGGGGAGAAGAGAGGCAGGGAAGGGAGCAGAGAAAAATGTAGGGCTCAATAAAAAATAAATGAAAAAGCAAGAGAGAGAGAGAGAGAGAGAGAGAGAGAGAGAGAGATGCACCATGGGGGAGGGAGGGGCTCCTGACAGTAACAGAAGTTCGGGATGGGCCTGGGCCTTCTCAACCTGCCCTCCTTAACTGTTGGGTCACGTAGATCACCCAGAACGGTCTCCTGATCTATGCCTAGCAAGCCCAACCTGCGTGGGGAGGCAAAAAGCTTTAGCTACACATTCGGAGCATCTAGGCTATGGACGTCTCCGGTCATCCAGCCAGAGTGTGCCCCTCAGTTCCCGGAAGCAGGGATGGTTTTTCAGTGGTGTCACCTCTGTGGATTTTCTCACTTATGACAATCTTGACCTGTATTTAAACCCAAGTGCCTGCCACCTTTCTTTCTTTGAATCGTCATCTCATTATGTAACCCTGGCTTGCCTGGGACTCTGCTGACCAGGTCAACCTTGAACTCAGAGACATCTGCATGCCTCTCCCTCCTGTGTGCTGAGACTAAAGGCCCCATGACCTGCTCTAGGAGTAACATGGGAAGTAGAAAAAGTTCATCCTTGTGTTACCAGGGCTTTAGGGGGCAAACTGACTTCCTCTCGTCTGCTTGTCACCTCCTTTTTTCTGTCTCCTTCTGCAGCCTAGGTTTGTTTGTTTTGTTTTTTGTTTTTACTGTTTGGGGGCCCACCACCCAGCTCCCAAATAAATATATGGAGACTCATTCTTACTTATGAATACCCTACCTTAGCTTGGCTTGTTTCTAGCCAGCTTTCAAACTTAAATTATCCCATTTCTCTTTAAGTACGTTTTGCCTCTGGGCGATATACTTTCTTTATTCTCTATATCTTTCTTTCCTTCTTACTCCCTGGCTGACTGTTGGTTTGGTGGCTGGCCCCTGATGTCCTCCTGATGTGGGAGTGTCATATATCAATCTGGTGATTTCATTGGTTAAGTAATAAACAAACTGCTTGGGCTCATAGCTTAGAACATAGGTGGGTGGAGTAAATAGAACAGGATGCTGGGAGGAAGAGGAAGTGAGGTAAGACGCCTCAGACAGAGACACCATGCCCCGCTTCCGGGCAGACACACGTGATGAAGCTCTGACCCAGGATGGACGTAGGCTAGAATCTTCCCTGTATGACCGGTTCTCACAGATTATTAGAGATGGGTTGATCGGGATATCAGAATTAGCCAGTAAGGGCTAGAGCTAAAGGGCCAAGCAGTTTTAAATGAATACAGTTTGTGTGTTGTTATTTCGGGTAAAGCTAAAGTGCGGGCAGCTGGGGTGCTGGGGACGCAGACCTGCCGCTCCTATTACTACATCCTCCTCTCCTTCTCCTTTTCTCACTTCTTGTTCTCTCTCTTTTCTCGAGCCTAGATTTCTCCTATTTATGCTCTCTGGCAGCCCTGCCTATCCCTCTCCTGCCTAGCTACTGGCCTTCAGCTCTTTAATAGATCATTCAGGTGTTTTAGACAGGAGCAGTAACACAGCTTTACAGTTAAACAAATGCAACATAAAAAAACCAAGACATCTTTGCATCATTAAATAAACATTCCACAGCATAAATGAATATAACACATCTTAAACTAATAATCCACAACATGGACCCCCTTTCCCTCACCAAATCCTAGTCCACTCAGGCCCTTTGAAGTCTAGCATCATTCAGCAAATCCCTCTTCTGCCATGACCAGTGTCCTGCACTAACACCCACCTGAAGATCTTGGCCATTGGTGTCTATGCTGCTTTCAAGAACTCAGTCGGGACCCTCTCCTGGGGGCTCAGCTTCTCACATAGCCCTCAGATGCCTAGTGCTCTCCTGAGACCCCTGCCCACCCTTCTAAAGCCTGAGACACACATGCTCTGGCTATTTATTGTACTTACCAGCTTTTAATGTCACCTCCAAGGACTGCTTGGAATTCCAGCTCACTGGCATTCAGGTGGGATAGAGAAGGGTTTGCCGCTTCCTGGTCCCTCTGGCACGCACAGCAGGGACCACAGGAGGCTCTACAGAGCTCAGAAGAAGCTTTTGGGACTTAGCATTCCTCTTTCACACTAATGTTACTGAGACTTGTCGTGCAAGTGTCAGGGGTGGGGACCCGCATTACGACTCCCCAGAAGGGAGCCAGTATCCTCTCCACCTTCTAATTGTGTGGCTAGGTTTTATCTGGAGATCTGCTTCTAATTGTCTGGCTAGGTTGTATCTGGAGATCTGCAGGCTCCTGTATCCTTGGACTCTGACGCCCTCAATGTGTCTTGCCCTGGCTTGCTGCTCACCTGGCATAGGGATCTTCTTCCTTGGGGAATCCCTTCTCTTCCTGAGCTTGTGAAACTAATTTATTCATGGTTAATAACTTAAAAAAAAAACAACAGTTAAAAGTAGGACCATGTGGTTTGGTGATGCATGCCTTTATTAATCACTTGAGAGACAGGGAGAGGAGTAACTCTGTGAGTTCATGGGCAGCTTGGTCTACATAGTGAGTTTGAGGACAGCCAGGGCTACACAGTGAGACCCTGTCTAAAACAAAAAGGATGATATTTATCTCAGAATTTACTGTTTGAGTCACATACCACACAACTGCTTTATTCTGAGATGGGTTGAGGGGGATTGCTAACAAAGCTTGGTGCGTCAGAATTCATATTTGTAAACACAATTCACACACTCTTGTTTCATAGTTTATTTTTAGAAAGACTCAGATATGTTTCCTTACATGGTACTTCTGTATTTTAAGGATATTTGCTTTTTTGAACACTGTTTTATAGACAAAACTTTTTTGTTTTGTTTTTATTGAGCTATACATTTTTCTCCGCTCCCCTCCCTTCCTCCCCGCCCCCTCCTACCCTCTCCTGTGACCTCCTACACTCCCAATTTACTCAGCAGATCTTGTATAGACAAAACTTTTATACAAATACAGCTGCACTATAGTAGAAAGACACTACAGAGTGAACCCTGAGACAACACACGAGTCCTTTGCCCTCCAAATAGCATTCCTCTGGTGTCTTCTATTATAGCAAAACAAGGTGCAGCTATATTTAACTTGCTTCCTGTAGCTCCAACCTTTATAACTAAGAAATTCACTGTGCATTAACAATATAACTGAACCAACATCAAGAGTGTTCTGGCCACTGGCACACCGCCACTGCTGCCTCACTGAGAACTCCCAAGCGTGGTAACAGACGCAGCAGTGTGGCAAAGCTGTAGGAGATAAAATATTTAGACTGTATGCTGTCTGCCCACGCTATTCTGCCTCTCCGTGTTAATATACTCTTACAGTCCAGAAATAAAAAGTACTCAATCTCATAGTACATCATAGGTTTCAAAATAGTACAAGTCTAATAGGAAGGACGATGGCAACAGAAATTCCCGTGGGGCTGAAAGAGACTGCCTGAGGCTACAGAGCAAACGGCGATGGATTTAGAGTGGAAAAGAGGGTAATGAGGTAAGCGTGCGACCTGGAAAATGGTGCTAGACCCGTGCTAAAGGTGCTCTGAGGACAGTTGTGGGGGGAAAGTTTTGAAAGGTGAGCTGGAGCCCAGTTACAGAAGAGCAGGCCAGGTGGGGTAGGCCAAGGGCTGCCAGGCCTGTCTGACGGACATATCATGATGGGACCCACAAGATGGAAGGAAAGAACCTGCTCCTGCAAGATGTCCTTTGACATCTTTGTGGCATACATACCCCCTCCGCCAACTATAAATAATGGCAAAAGAACAGAACAAAACCCCCTGACTCCAGCCTTAGAAGTCTGGACTTGGTTCTGAGTGATGGGTGTGGGATTCTGGTGAGTGCAAGAGTCATCTGGCAGGAAGATTGGTGACCAGACAGACCTTGACTCTAAGACTGATTTAGAACTGCATTCAACAGATTCCCTTGGTGAGTCTGGGACAGGTGAGATATTATCTTCTACAAAAACTTAAGAATGCTTACTGTTGCAAAGACTGGTGGTTTGAATGAGAATGCCTACCACAGGCCCATATGTTTGAATGCTTGAACCCATTGGTGGAATTGGTTGGGAAGGATTAGGTGTGGCTTTGTTGGAGATGTGTCGCTGACAGTGGCTTTGAGGTTTCCAAAGCCTATACCATTCCAATTCTCTCTCTTCTCTCTCTCTGCCTCATGGTTACTATCTCAATACGTAAGCTCTCAGCTATTGCTCCAGCATTATGCTTGCCTGTTTGCTGCCATCCCACCGCGATACCATGATGGTTGTAGAATAATCCTTTGAAACTGTAAGAAAGCCCCCAATAAACTATTCTGTAAGCTCCCTTGGTCATGGTGTCTCTTCACAGCAATAGGAAAGTAATGAAGACAGATTTAAATTGTTCTATGATCTCTGAAAACTTTTTTTTTTTCAAGACAGGGTTTCTCATTATAGCCTTGGCTGTCCTGAAAATTGCTCTGTAGATCAGGCTGGCCTTGAACTCATAGAGATCTACCTGCCTCTGCTTGCTGAATGCTGGGATTAAAGGTGAACCACCACTACCCATTCTGAAAACTCTTAACTTTTAGGTTCACAGATCTCTCTTCTGACCTTACTTAATTTTTCTTCGAATTTTTCTTTAGTAATTCCAATTGTTTTTCATATTTTGTTTATTGGCTGATTTTGTGTCTGGGTGCACAAGTGTCACAATGTGCATGTGGAGGTCGGAGGAGAATTTGGAGTTGGTGCTCGCCTTCTGCCACGTGAGTCCCAAGAATTGAACTCAGATCACTAAGCTTGGCAGCGGGTACCTTTAGCCCTGAACCATCCTGCTGGCCTCCTGTTTATGTACTGAAGAGCACCTTTGCTCAATGATGCTTCTTGTCTTTCTACTTCTCTGCTATCTTTAAGAGTTTTTGGCCTCTTGGACTTTGCTCTTTCTTTGCAGTTATTACCCAAGGTTCTGCCTTATGAAGAGTGTCTGTGTTAATGATCAGTTGGCTCCACACTGACAGAATAAAAGTTACCAACAGCAATATCAAATACTACAGCATTCTCTGCCACTTGTCTTGGAGAATAGCAACCACACTGTTATCACAAGAGAATGTCATATTAATTTTTACTCTTGGTGATCAGAACTCACTAGTTGATTGACTATGTCAGGAACCTTAACTCCAACCTCAATGTGTAGACTTTGTCCTGCACATAAAGAGTTACAACAGCTTCTAAGCCATGCAGTACCATAGACAGACATGTTCTAGAAACAGTGCCTTGAAGACAGCTTGCAAGAAGGTATATGAGCTATAGGTTGTGGGGCTGCAGAGATGGCTCTGTGGTTATGAGCACTGAATACTCTTCTAAAGGAGTTGGGTTCAGTTTCCAGAAACCACATGGTGGCTAACAGTCAGGTAATAATTGTCTCTAACTCTAATTCTCAAGGATCTGATGCTGTTTTATGGGCTGTATGGGCACTACATGCATGCCTCTGCCCTTCTTTTTATAATTTGAAGTAAGGATAAAGGCACGTTTCAATTTGCTTTATTTATTAAATGATGTGTGTGCATGTGTGCACATGCTTGAATACAGGGCAGAGTCCTGGAGCTGGAGTTACAGAATGCTGAGAACTGCCCGACATGGGTGCTGGGAGCCGAACTCTGGTCTTAACCACTAAGTCACCTGCTCAGCTCCCTCATTTTACTTTACATGAATGTGTTCCAGACATTAAAACCACATCTGTTGCATCTTACATATATTTTCCACAAGTGGTTCCAGGATTCTAAACGGAAAGATTAAAAACATTTAAGCGGTCTTGGGGAGATAGCACAGAGGCTAAGACCATGCATTGCTTAACTCAGGACCCCACATCAGGCACAGTCACCTGCATCTCTAGTTCCAGGGGAGCTTCTATTCTCCAAGGGCCCCTGCACTCATGTGGACATACCAACGGACAAACACATACACACACATGAGCATGTGTGCGCGCGAGCGTGCACACACATACACACACAAAAGAAAAAATAAATCTTTGAAAAATATTTAGGAAGTATATTGTTTGAAACATTCTATAATCTTAGAAAGAACAAAGGATAAGGTATGTATGTTAGGGGCAATTTTGTTCATGCCTAATTTAGTAACTAAACCAATGAACCAGCAACAAGTCTCAGTGTAAGTCAGAGGAAGGAGATGACTCTTCCATGGTGGATGACCTGGGGAAAACAGCATCTTTCTTTCTATAGTGCTATCTTCATTATAGATATGAAAATTAAATGTGTATATTGATGGGTTTTTGAGCCCCTTGGACAAAAAAAGCTATGAAAAGCAAAGGTTAAGTAATTTCCAAATCTATAATTTTTCTGCTTACCCCCATCTGTCATTGTTTCTAATTATCAACCTTCCATGAACTTGGACTACCTTTCTCCACAGGTACCTCAGGCGGCTTTGTGAGGAGAATTCTTGAACTCCATGTAGAGCTGTGAGTCAGCATTTTACACAGGCATAAAACCAAGATGATTTAAAGTAAGCAATGTAATCTTTTTGAAAGACATGCGCATGTCCTTGAGAAGATTTAAGGAAAACTGGGGTTTCTAAGCTTATGAATAGTTTATCACATTTCAACAACTGCATTGTGAATCAATAAAGCAGAAGTTAAGAATAATGAGCTCAAGTTATTGATTCTCAAGTTTCAAAATAGAACAGTACAGGAAAGCTATAAAAAAGGAATTTCGGGCATGTGTGCAAGAGGAATTTAAAATGTCAGAAGAGGCCAAGGGACACCTAAGACACCAGGAGAGTCCAGCAACGTCCTCGGATGTCTAAGTCTGCTAATTAGAAATATTTAATTTTCAATTTAAAAATACCTTGGAGTTTTTAATATTTATCTTTACTTTTTATGTATGTGTATGCCTGTGCAGCTGGGAGCCCTCCAATCCCCCAGAGCTGCAGGTTCAGACTGTTAGGACCCATTGTGCTGGGCACTGAGTCCAGGGCCTCTAGGAACAACAAAACCTCTTCACTACCGAGCCATCGCTATGCCACTGTTTCCAATCTTAAAAACATATTTTAAAGTCAAGGCAGAGGGGTTTGTAAAAACCAGTGCTGCCTTTTATAAACGACTCATTTATTTTCCCAGTTTCTTTATTTTTTTGAGGCAGGCTGTCCTTGACTGGCTAGGTAGACCAGGATGGCCTCCAAGTGACAAAATCTGCTGTCTCTGCCTCTGAGCGTTGGGATGGGATTAAAGGAATGTGTCACTATGTCCATCTTGGATCCAGGATTTTCTTGCCTAAACATGTTGCAGATCTGTGCCTTCAAGAGGAAGGGGACCAAACCTAAGTCCAGTCCAGTCCTTTTATACCAGGAGGCAGTCATGGAGAGAGTCTTTCAAAACTCAATTAGGTGCGTGTATGGTCCATTGGTGTCCAGCTTTAACACTTGCCTGTTCCCGTAAGTGCCGTGCGCCACTACAACCCCCGCTTCGGCACACTTGCTGTTGGCGGCCAGGGCTTTCTCACACAGACTCACGAACTGGGAGTACAGTGCCAGGCCTTCCTCCTTCCCGCAGTTAGCGTGATACTGCATGTTTTTTCCTTTCACCCTGCCCCCGAGGGTGGCTTGAGGGATGATGAGGACGTCGCCGGGCAGGTCCAGGATGGAGACATGCTTGCCGTTTTCTGTCTCACTTAATTTCACATTTAACAGCGTATTAACTGGGCAGGGAAAAAGGTAAAATATTTTGAAGTGAAAAACAAACATGAAGAAAATCATCAGTGTTTTACTTGTTACTAAGTTTCATATTTAAAACCTAGTCTCTGGGGCTGGAGAGATGGCTCAGCGGTTAAGAGCATTGCCTGCTCTTCCAAAGGTCCTGAGTTCAATTCCTAGCAACCACATGGTGACTCACAACCATCTGGAATGAGGTCTGGTGCCCTCTTCTGGCCTTTGGGCATACACACAGACAGAATATTGTATACATAAAAAAACCCACCAAAAAACCCCTAGTCTCTGTAGGTTTAAAAGGATTTCACTAAATGGCACAGCCCTAGAGTGCGCATGTGCGCACATGCGCATATACACACACCGCAGAAAATTCTGAATTTCATACAGAAAATACCAAGGTGCTTCAAATCTGACCCAACGATCAGGCTCTCCCACACACAGTTCATCCAGGAAGGTCTACATTCAAAGAATTAACTGTACACTAGAACCCTGAGTATTGCTGTCTCTGGGGAACACGTGAATGTTTGTTTCTCTGATCCTTTTATTTCATAAGCAAATACCAACTGGTTCAATTCCATTATAAACCAGATGATTTTGTAATTTCACAATTTAAGGCAATATTAACATGGCCTAACATTTTATAAACAAGGCCTATTAGGGAAATGCAAATTCATTATTACAAAAGAAAAGTAAACAAAAGATACAGAGCCACTGGCAGCATAAATATATATGTGTATCTGTATGTGTATATGTATATGTGTATACAAGGGAGGCTGGAGAGAAGACTTGGTTGTTAAAAGCTCTGACTACCCTCCCAGAGGGCTGAGATTTGGTTCCCAGCATCCACATGGCAGCTAACAACAGTCCCTGACTCCAGTAGCCAATGCACTATTGTGGCCTCAGCAGGCAACACACTCACACACTTACGTGGAAGACAGGCATATGTGCAGGCTATTATACAGAAAAACACTGTTTTGAAAAGCCAAAAAAAAAAAAAAAAAGAAGAAGAAGGAAAAAAGAAAAAAAGAACAGGTAGTAAAGCAATTCTGTAAGCCTCACACTCTGAAAGGCATACTTTCACCTCAGGCAGACCGATCTCTGAGTTCCAGCCCAGTCTGGGATTCAGAGACTTATTTAAGGCATGTTTTCTGGTCTGGTTGATTCCACTACTACACACTCTGTAGCAACCATCCATAGGGACTTGGTTATGATTCTACTCTACAACTCACGGTAAAAGCAGCCAATTCCTAACCTCTGCTGCAAGTCCCGTCACTTCTCAATTAGCTAACATCTCTCTTGAAACACCTTTGTAGTCTTTGTGCGGAAGGTCTCTACTCACAGCCAGCGGCCCTGCTGACTACATCTCGGGAGGACAGGAACTCCCAGAGCACGTCACTGCAACCAGCACTACTACTTAGCTAGCCAGGCCTCAGGCTTTGGCAGAGTGAGTTAACAAGTGTGGGTTAACAGCAATGAGCAGCCATACCATTTTTATTATACTTTCACACACCTCCCTCTACTGGCTGTGACTGAGAACTCACATGTCTGCACGTAAAAATAAATACAGCACAAAGACAAACAGAAATGAGATGATATTAATAGCATGTTAGAAACTTAAAGGATGTAAGATGGGTTATTAGATTCCCCAGTGACACAGAGATGAAATCAAGCTTTGACAGACCCCCAACCTACTTTTATACTGAAGATGAACTGAGGAAGAGTCTATACACTTCTATGTTAGTTAGGGTACTTCAGACTTCATAGACATAACTGGTTATGTCCATGAAGGTCTGATCCATGAATAAGTATGAAGTGGGCTTTAAGAGAACCTCATCACACCAGTTCACTCATGGACTAGAGAGACGTACAAACTAATCTCTCAATATATGTTGGTTTGTTAAACTATTTGCTAAAAGACTTAGGGAAGGTATTCTCTTTGTTTTCAATAGTCTTACACACATGTTTAGAGGGAACTCATAAAGACAAAGGTAGAAACATATAGGTTTAGTCACTATAAAACAATGCAGCTTGGGTTTGGTGGGTTTACTTTACCCCACTGTGCTTAAGACATCATAAGACAACTTTGCAAAGTCAATCGTTTTTGTTTGTTTTGTTTCTTCAAGAGAGGATTTCTCTATGTAACAGTCCTGGCTGTCCTGGAACTCCCTTTGTAGACCACGCTGGCCTCAAACCCAGAAATCCACCTGCCACTGTCTCCTCAGTGTTGGAATTAAAGGCGGTGTTACCACTGCCTGGATACAAATGACCAGCATCTTATTTTGTATTTGAAGCATCTTACTACAGTCCTTTGGCCAACAAAGATGACCAAGGTAAAATACTAATTTAGGCAAATGAGCAGAATGTTTGACACCTCCACGTTAGGACCTGAGAAAGACCTCTAGCACAGGAGCTGCATCTCCTTTTCTTAAGCCTACAAAGGCTCCTTATCCCCCAGATTCAGATTTCAAGACTATGAGTTACTCGCTTTCCATCCCCACCTGTTTTCATGCCTTGACAAAGTTGTCAAGCAAGTCTGATATACCAGTGTAAAGTTTCCTTTGACTTTTTGACTAAGGTGTTGTCAATGGGCTATCTGCCTGCGAGTTCCATTTTCATTGCTCTGATCTTGTCTAGATTAACTTCTGTAAGCTCTAACTATCTGTTTGTATTGTTTTTCCTTTGGTGACATGGCCAGCTCTCTTGTTCAGGCTGTCCTCCAAGCCCAGGATCAAGGGATCCTTCGGTCTTAGCCCTCTGTAGCTAGAGTGATAGGCACATGCTACTGTGCTAAGCTTAAATTACTTACTACTCTGACTAACATGTGCCGTATTTTACCAATGAGGAACACATAAACTACCCCTCAATCTTAGGAATAGTTCCATTATCTCAGGTTTATTTCTGAGCATAATCTTTGAACCAAATACTGCCTTGTAACAGCATGTGACATGATTCAGTCCATCTGAACCCGTGGAGTTATCTATCACAAGGAATGTGCAGGGCGTGGACCGTACAGGATCCTGGAAAGCTGCAGCAGCTAAGTCAATGCTTTGTGATCCCTAAGCATTTACTCTGTTTTCTCTACCCTCAGAGGAAGTGTGGCCGTGATGACACTAAGTCTGGTTCAAGAACCGGGAGAACTGTATTTATATATTGACACAATAACCTACATAAATGGTTGCCATACATTCTCCTATATCAATGACATAAGGCTGAGTTGTCTGGATTTGACTGGATACACATGTTGTACATACATGGTCATCTACTGCCCCATTAGGGATGCTCTTATCTGATGGGGAGAGGAACGGGACCATGGGGGATAAGGGGGACAAGAAAGGGTAATGGGAAGTAAATAAGGTCAAAATACATGATATACATCTACAGAACCTGTCATTCTGTAAGATAAGTATTAACACACACACAGTTATGGGGTGTGGTAAAGAAAGCAGCACAGCATTTGTTTGAACTCTGTGGCCATCCTGCTCTCAGAACCTTCCGTGCTCTGGGCAGAAGCGTGTTCTGCATATGGGGTTATGTGTCTACCTTCTAAATCAGTCTACAACCACCGCAATGCTGTGATATTTTCAGAGTTCCACCATGTGCTCATGTGCATTCTTTAAATTTTACAATAAGCAATATAATTATTACACCAGCACAATTTAGGATCATGCTTCTTGGGGCTGCAGAGATGGCTCAGTAGTTATGAGCACCTGCTGCTCTTCCAGGGAACCTGGGTTCCAGTCCCAGCAGCCACACGCAGGTTGCAACCCCGTCATGCAGTTTCCAGGGGATCTGATGCCTGCTTCTGGCCTCTGAGGGCATCATGCATGTATGTGGTAGACATACATGCAGGCAAAACACCAATACATATTTAAAAAAGAAGAGAAAGAACCACCCATCCACCCACCCACCCCATGTTCCTGGAGCTGGGCCTGCAATTACCCCAGAGGTGTAGCAGAAAGACTGCACACTCAATGCCCTCCTGAGACAGAAGGAACTGAAGGTCAGCTGGGTAAATTGTCAAGACCTCGATTTAAGATTTTTAAGGAAAAAAAAAACTAGTTTACAAAGAATTAGGTCTCATTATGGCTTTTTTTTTTTTAATTCCAAATGTTCTTGTTTGGATGTTAGTTGTTAAAAAGGCTTTCATGCAGTGGTGGAACAGGTTCCACTTTCTTAACTTGCTCTAGGCCCGGGAAGCAATCCCTAGCACAACCGCAAAACAAAACAAAAAAGTCAAAATAAAGTAAGTTACGCTTCTCAGCTGAGGTTACAGGTCAGCGGCAGAGCACTTGCTCAGAGGGTACTCATTCGAGGCTCAACCCCAAGCCCCTCAAACCAAAACAAAGTCCCACCAAAGCCAGCACAGTGGTGTTTGCATTCTGCTCATATGCTCACTGACGGCCTCATCTTTGCACCTTTATTCATCTTACATCATAAAGCGTATGAACCCGATACCCCACACCCCCTCACCGGGAGAAGAGAGAAAACACATACCCATCTTGGGAAGAAGCTCTTTGTCCGCCCCCTTGAAGAAGCACACATAGATCACTAGGCCTCTCTGGATCTGTGAGAAACCGCCACAGGAGTCTACATTAGGAAGGGGTCTACAGAGGATTGGTGCAAGGGGAGACGTTTCACAGTGTTTCCAAGTGTGGGGTTAAAAGTCAAGGGAGAAAAATAAAAATCATTTTGAATTCTAAGTAAATCATGGGACACCAAACTCTGTCTTGAGTTTTAATCACCATGATTATTTATTTCGGCAGAGCTTTCAGCCAGCAGCCTCCACACCAGGCCAGGCTGACAGGAACAGTCTGCTTGCAGGCTGACCTATCCAACGCCAAGTGCATTTCCCTTGTACCACACAGGGCTGGTGACTAGGGGCAGGCTCATGGATGTCTTTTGATGCTCCTCTTTATTTTCCCCTAAGTTGTTTATTTAAAGAGAGCAGTATTTCAGATTTCTACAAACTCCAGGAGACTGCTTTTTCTGTTACTGTGGCTAACGCCTTAAGTAAACCCAATGATTAGGCCTTGAAAATTACATTTACGCCAATAATTTTATATGAAAAGGTTGGTTGTTACCAGGGATATACACTTATTCATTGTATGTAATGACTTGGTTATTTTTTACTAGTTTCTGTAAGACAGACTACAAGAAAATAAAAGCGGTGCTAAATGACTTTGATGCTACTGTTGAAGAAATAGCTGGGGCTGTGATTCCACGTTAATCTGCGTGACTCCAGGCACCTCACTTGATTCAGGAGCAGCCACAAAGATTAAAGGAGTTAATAATTGCACACTACTTACACAGTGCTGAGTTCACAGTAAGTCTAACACAGGTGTTTATCAAACGCTATATAAAAATAAATTTAAAGGCAGAGGCACAGTTTACTTCACATTTTAGCTGCCAAAGCATCTTGCATGCTTCGTACACGACTGGGACTCAATTTAAGAGCTAGTGGCATTAACATTTAACTATATCTTTCTGGCTCTGTTGACCTAAATGGTTTTCTGTGTAAGTATAGCTCTGCATTCATACTTGAATTACCTGCAAAAATATTTTTCTTTAATTACGTGTCTGCACGTGTCTGCGTGTCTGTGTACAGTGTCGGATGCTTGTCAAACCTTGAGGGGGTCATCAGATCCCAGGGGGCTGGAGTTGCAGGTCGTTGTGAGCCAGCATGTGTGCTGAGAACTGAACTCGGGTCCTGCTCAAGAGCAGCACTTGCTCTCAACTGAGGAGCCATTTCCACAACCCAGCAGGCATTTTTAAAAAAGGGCAATTGTACTTCCGGAGCAATAGGCGAGAACCTCCAATCCCATCTATGGCTATGGGGCTGGCAAGGGTGTCACAGGTATCTATACTATTAGAAGTCTCTCCACTAACAGAATCTTGAGCTCAAGTCTTCCACTCAGTCACATCTGGTACCTGGATGCCAGAATCAAGTATCTAGTTATGACCAGAAATACCCACTTCCTGATCACAGCGTTACTACCTCCGAATGTTATTTTCTTTGAATTTCAATACTAGATCTTAACTTGCGACCTAAAAATCCCTCTCTTCAAGTAAAAAAAAAAAAATATTTCGCCTGAAGTTTCATTGGTATACATTACAATACATTGGAAAGTAGGTAATTCCCACTGTGGCTTTAAAACGTTCAATTCCCAGGGAGGAAAACATCCCTCTGGGACAGCCAAGTCTACATGAATAAAACCAAGGCAAGGTAACTCTTCAAACAAAATGCTATTTAAAAAAAAAAAATCAACTTTGCTAATAGACCAGAGTACAGGAAGACTAGCTACTGCTCAGCTCTCTGATGTGTGGGAGGGAAGGAAAGGCCTTTGAAACACCTTTTAAATTCTATAAACACAAAAGGACAGTTTGGAAGGCTGCAGTAAAATGCGATTCTGCATCAGGCAATGTGGGGGAAACAAAAATGACAAAGGATGGACTCTAAATGATTGAGTTTGGAATTTATCATACCAAACGGCAACAATTAAAACAGGTATTTTTTTTAGATATAAATAAATTTTCAAAACCGCAAGGAAAAGCCCTAACACAAATACGGAAGAAAAAGAATTTGAGAAAAGGGAGATGGCGAAGATACTGGAAGATTGAGTGATTTATTATTTATTTACTTAAAGGAGGCTTTTCTCCGCGCAGTCCTGGCTGGCCTGAAACTCGGTTCGTAGACCTGGATGGCTTTGAACTACCTCTGCCTCTTGAGTGCGGGGATTAAAGGCAACGCTGCCACCACACTCGGTGACATTAGAGTTTTGAATGCTTGGTTTAAGGTCACCCATATACACTTGGTTTAAGTTCACGATGACAGATCTATGCGATATGAAGCCTAATTTAGTGGAGGTGAATGAGATTCTCTAAAAATTCTGAGTACAGTTCGGCGGGGCGGCTTACGCTGTTACCCCAACACTTAAGACAGATATAAGGCAGAAGGAGCATCCTCAGGCGGAGAGGGCTAGAGAGCCACCAGGAGCCACTCCAAAGTGACATCGAGGCCGCCCACTAGGGTGAGCAGACGGAAAGGGACACTCTTCCTCCCAGGAGAGAAGAGAGAAAGATCAGCACCACGGTGAGAGGAGGAACGGGCATTACCTCCACCCACTGCGCCGCGGCGTCCCCGTCGGCCGGGCGCACTTGTAGATGAGCGTGCAGGCACTGCTGCAGAAGCGCGCGGGCGTGCACCGTATTGCTGCCGTCCGCCATGGCTCGGCTCCGCACTGCGCATGCACAGCGCAGGCTCTGCCCGTCACCCGTGGCTCCGCCCTAGAAGGGCGGGGCCTCTGCCGGGCTCTGCTGTGTCCTGGTTGTGCAGTTAAACCACAGCGGGTCCCTAACCGGAATTCCCCCGATAAGCGAAAGGGTTTGTGTTTAGAGAGACTTTTTTTTTTTCTTTCTTAATCGCATCCTAGGATATCTTGATTTTGGTTTGTTTTTGGAGGTAGAGTCTCCTGGAGCCGAGGTTGGTGACGGTAGCCCGTAGTCGAGGCTGACCTTGAACTCCTGACTCCTCCAAATCGCTGGGATTACAGGTGTGCACCCCTCCCCCACTCCCTTCGCCCCTGCTTCAAATGTTTCGAAGAAACATTTTTCACTTGAGAAAGCTTAGGTTTCTAGATGTTGAAAAAAATGTATGTCAGAGTTAAATCCATTCTGTGCTCATTGTAAGGACAACGAGTGAAATCAGAGACAGAATTAAAGCTGTGGGTGGAATAGCCTTTCACAGTGGTCACCTAAGACTAGTGGAAAATCATATTTACATAATGATTCATAAAAGTGACAACACTATAGTTAGGAAGTAGCAACGAAAATAATTTTAGGGTTGGGGCCTCCACAATACAAGCAACTGTGTTAAAGGGTCACACCATTAGGAAGGTTGAAAATCAGTTAACTAGAGCTAGAAATCTCTCAAAAATATGCCTTGTCCATTCAATAAAGCAGTGCTGTTTTCTGTATCAGAAATGCTTCAAAACATTCTGATTCTGTAGTTGCAGAAGGGTGTTAATAAGCTATGTGAATGCACTTTTGGAGACCAATTCTTTATTATTTATTAAATTTTCATTTATTTTTATACACTTTAATTAAAATATAATCACATCACTTTCCTCCCCCAATCCCTCCCGAGTCTGTTCCCTCCATCTCCTTCCGCTTCCTCCCACTTACACTAATAACCTCTTTTTTTCAGGGGTTGTAGTCACATATATGCACAGATATACGAATACTGCCCGCTGAGTCTGTTCTCGTCTTGTGAATATGGTTTCAGAACTGATCCCTTTGAATTGGGTGACCAGTTAGGGGGCTCGTTCCCAGGAGATGTTAATTCTCTCTCTGTGGTCCTTAGCTCCCTGTAGTCCTTTGTCTGGGGGTGGAGTCTGCTAAGATGTCAAGTTGCCTTTGTTCAGGCTTCACTTATGCAGCCATTTCTATAAAAGGGCGTCTCACAGCAGACATCCTGGTATTCTGACTCTTACAATCTTTCTGCTCCCTTTTCTATCTATTATATAGATATGATGTGATGTAGATATAGCCATTGGGGCTGGGCTTCCCACAATCCTTTAGTGCCTGCACTGTGTCCTGCTGTGGCTTTCTGTGGCGGTTCCCATTTGCTGTAAAGAGAGGATTCTATGATGAATGTTGATAGTTACACATACTTGTAGGTATAAGGATAAGGTTTGGAATCATGTTGCTTTGGTAAAGTGGTATGTAGTAGACTCTCTTCTAAGACCTATGGCCTCACTACCCCCTGGAAAGCTGGCTGGGTTCTAAGTACCAGGAATGATTTCCCTCTTGTTGAGTAGATCTGAAGTTCAATTAGACAGTTGTTGATTAGGACAGACTTGGGAATGCCATTTATCGCACCTTTGAGGATATCTTGTCGTTCTGGTCATTGTGGTCACAGGCGACACTGCTGGGTTGGACTGTTAATTGTCCCCCACCTTCTCTTTAGCAGCTTGCATAGCATTTTCTAGTACTATGGAAGTTAGACCATAGGAAGGAGACTTTCATGTTAGATACGGCTTGAAAAGTCTGAGTCTTGTATCTTAAGTGTCTTCAGCATTAGGGACTTACCTTCAGCCTTTGAGAGGTATCTATGACCACAATAGTTTATGTTGTTTTGGAATTTCTTGGACTACTCTGATCTTATTATTCTGCATTTGCCTAAAATTGCACACCATACATATAAGCGCATATATGTACTTTAGTGAATACCACAGACTCACTAAACTCTCAGTACCAGGCATGAGGAATCTCCTTTTGGATGGAAGAGAGCAATTCTTTAGAACATATCCTTGGTAAGAATATTCTTCTCTCGGAGGTGACTGTTCACCAGTTACCAAACTCGATCCTCATACAATCCTACAACATATTCTGATGCAGACAATTCTGGCTGTGCACAATGACATCAGATGCTGTGATCCACTTTCTTTGAGCACTTATTAGAATGTAAATAAAAGTAAACAGGGCTTGGTTTTCTTTCCCACGAAATCTATTCCTCGAATGTGCATAGGATTAGCATTTGTTTTTCACAGATGTGGAGGGTTTAGCGGGGGAAATAATAGTGTTACCCTGATTGCATTACTCAGGTCATTGATTTGGGCTCAGTTGGCACAATATATTCATGCCCGTTGTTTTAGAAGATGACGTCGCTGATAGTGTCGCTGCCCATACAAAGTAGTGTGACTGGAGGAAATAATCCATGCATAATCAGTGGTCCTTTGTACACAAACTGAAGCTGCCTGTCGGCTGGTTATCTTGCAGCCTCCCTTACACTTTTAGTAAAAAGAAAATGGAAAAGAAAAACCCTCACATCATCTCTAATGGCGGGGCTACGGCGGCCGCCACGCTGGGTGCCAGTTGCTTGTGTAGCATTCACCAGTTGAAGGGCTTGTGCCTGCACCTGTATGCCACTGTAACTATGGAGTGGGTATTCTGCCATTCAGATTCCACGTTTAAAAAATCAAAAGGAACATTGCTATAGCGACCCAAGCTGTGTGATCCGGGCTAAGTGAAGACCTGGGTGTCCATTTGTGTGAGAGTGTAGGAGACACGGAGAGCTATTGCCAACAGCGTGTGTGGTTCCCAGGCGTTTTTGCACAACAAGGAAGAAGAGGAACCCCTTTCTGTGGATAGTTTGTGTTTGTTAATGGTTGGTGTCTCAAAAAAAAAAAAAAAATCACCAATTACTTTTAAGTTTCCTATCGGGTGAGACTCTCTTGGGCTGAGAAGGTTAGTGAGCATCTATTCTTGTATTCTTTCTTCCTGCCTACAGAGGGCAGTCAAGAGTAGACAGTAAAGAAAAGCAGTTTCTCTGTTTTATGAACACTGCTCTCACAAAGAACTCATGAAAGTAGGACGTGCGTGCAAAAGGAGAGTAAAATGTGAACAAAGTGAAAAAGTACGAGTAGAGAAAATTAAATTACACAAATAAATCCACAGTAGTTTTTGGTAGTTTTTGACTGTAATTCTGATACCGCGTGTAGCAATATTTTAAGTTTTTTGTTTGTTTGTTTTGTTTTTTGAGACAGGGTTTCTCTGTGTAGCTTTGGAACCTTCCCTGGAACTCACTCTGTAGACTAGGCTGGTCTCGAACTCACAGAAATCTGCCTGCCTCTGCCTCGGGGTCTGAGGCCATGTAGGTGCCATGCAGATAGGGATGGCCTGTGTTGACATGGGGCAGGGGTCGGGGGGACTATGTCGGGTCTGTGACTCTTCCGCAGTCAGGGTCTCTGGCTCCTGCTGCCATTGGGGGCCACAGGATTACTGAGGTTCTCTACTGTCACCGTATTGGAGTCCAAGGACCATGCTGCTGCTGGGCCCACGCAGATTGGAGAGGCATAGGCTGCCACCCAAATCCATCCGGGCCCAAAGGGCTGCTGCTGGCCGTGTGTGGGTCTGTCTGTAGTCCTGCCGCAGCTGGGGTCTGGGTTGATGTCTGTTGCCCATGTTACCTCAGGAGCCCATGCAAACCATGAGCTGAAGTACAAGGGCCTCACTGAGCTGGCCTCACTCCTCACTGGCCTGAGGAGCGCTGTCTGCCACCCCCCACCGCCCCCCCCCCCCCCAGATCAGGCCGTGCCGTACTCTAAGTGGCTTTATGTCGTGTAAACAGTGGTTTTTCAGCTTATGCCTTGCCCCGAACGATTCTCTTTTATAAGCTGCTGTGGATTCTATTTTGAGGTTAGACGATGATCGCGTACCCGAGTCGGGACATGAACTCGCACCACTCACATAACACAGATTGCTAAATGACTCTTTCCTGGGAGTTGAAAGGGAGCCACCATAAATTTATTAGCATGAACTGGGACTGCAGAGGTGCATGAGTGTATTTAAAATTATATCAGCAAAAGCAGGGCCAAGGACAAAAGAAACAAAAGAGCAAGGAAAGTTTGATACACTCTTCCTAGGACTTCATGAAGGTGGAAACCTACTTCTCCTATGACACTGCGTCCCCCCCCCCCCCCCCATCTGTCATCTGATCACCTAGTGTATGCATCAAGGGACTGACAGGCACAAATCACCCGACTGTCCCTGGGCTTTACAGGCCTACTCTAATTGCTCTCTGCCCCTGCTCCTGTTTGCTCTTCTGGACCTATTACCTACCTAACCTATTGTCCATCTATATTACCATTTGTTTGTCTGTCCTTGTCCTGTCCTTTAAGTTCTGAAGCTGGCCTCAACACAGGCCATTTCTGTCCCTGCAGCCTGGAACAGCACCAGTCCAGAGACCACCAGTTGGTGATCTCACACCCTTTTGAGCCCACCTGAGACCTTCAGTGGGTGACCTCACGCCCTCTCCGGCCCACCTGAGACCTTCAGTGGGTGACCTCACACCCTCTCCGGCCCCTGAGACCTCCAGTGGGTGACCTCACGCCCTCTCGCCCTCTCCGGCCCTCTTCCTCCTCCACCCTACCCCTTTGTATTCCTCCTCCTCCTGCTCCTCCTCCTTCTTCTTTTTGGCTACCAACCAAGACATGGAGGCTTCTTCTTATAAGTTTTTATCTTAGCTCTTATTTCTTGCTAGCTCTTATAACTTAAATTATCCTGTTTCTCTTTGGCTTCATTTTGCCTCAGGGTTATTTTTTTTTTTTAACTTTTTTTCTGTGTATCTTATTTTCATTGCTTCTTCTGTCTGGCAACTGCCTGGCTTCTGGCCCAAGGTGTCTCTCTCTTTCTCCCTCATTCTCTCCTCCTTGGAGCCTAGAGTTCT